GCCCAAGAGCCCCGGCCACGGCACCGTTCATCCGCACTTGGCCGCGGCTGCTGCTGCTCACCTGCCCACCCAGCCCCACCTCTACACCTACACCGCCCCCGCCGCCCTGGGCTCCACGGGCACTGTCACCCACCTGGTGGCCTCCCAGGGGTCTGCGCGGCACGCCGTGCAGCACACCACCTACCCCGCCAGCATCGTCCACCAGGTCCCCGTCAGCATGGGCCCGCGGGTCCTGCCCTCACCCACCATCCACCCGAGTCAGTACCAGGCTCAGTTTGCTCATCAGACCTATATCAGTGCTTCTCCAGCCTCCACAGTCTACACTGGATACCCGCTGAGCCCCACCAAGGTCAACCAGTACCCTTACATCTAAACACTGGAAATGAGGAGCGAGAGGCGCACCCGTCCCAGGGGGAGCGAGGCAGCCGCTTTTGTCCTGAAGAACATGACAAAAACTGACAATGCAATGGGAGGCTCGCACATGAAACTTGAATGAAGGAGACTTTAAGGAAGAAACAAGAATGAGGAAAGAAGGGGGAGAACCAAGTCTACACTTTTTATTTAAAATTTAAAAAAAAAAGAAAATGGAAAAAAAGAACAGGAAAAAAAAAACACAAAAAAACCAACCATTCTGCACCAAACTAGAGAGAGAGAAGCAGAAGGACCCTGCAGCGGGTCCTGTCTTTTGAAGAACTTCACCAATAGACTTTTAAAGGTTATTTTCATCCAGTAGTGAGCTACATTTAGAAATTTGTTGTCCAGAACACCTAAAATGAAATCCATCAGGTTTTTAATCCAATAGCTGTATGGAGTAGGGATTTATCCAGCGTTCCAAAGGGTTTATGCCCTGTCTTTGCAGTGATCTCTGTATCCCAAAGCGTACATGAGATTTTGGTGGGGTTTTTCCTGGAAATACAAAGTGGGTAAGGGAGGCTGAGGGAGGAGGAGAAAGTGTTGTCCCAGTGCTCTAAATTCACATCTAGCATTGCTATCCTTAAAAATGGGGGCAAAACAGGCCATGCAGCACTGGTCGAGAGCAGAAGCAATGGGGATGTTTCTCCCTTTCCTTGAACACGCTGGATAAATCCCTGAGAAACACTATTCCTAAATGAGATCTCTAATACAATGTATGTTGGATTTTAGTTGTGTTTAATTTTATTTTATTTGGAAAGCTTCCTTTTCAAGCCCTAGCCGTTTTAGTATAGGAGGAGACATTTTAGCTGCCCTGACCCCCTTCCCTTCCCCCTGGTAGAATGTAGCACTATACAGGTCATACACCCTTTTTACTCTTTTGTGTTGAACTTCAACGATACCAATAGACTATTCCTCAATGTGATTGCACAAAGAAAAGTGATATAACATAGGCATGTAACAAATGTGATTGTCCAGGTTTGTACGTGTGTGTGTGTGTGTGTGTGTGTGTGTGTGTGTGTGTGTGTGCAGATGCTGCCTTCTCTCTGTGGTGTGTTCCTCGGCACAGCCATTACAGCCGTCACAGTCTTAGTTTTACATCATTCCCTCGTAGTGCCTTACCGAACTACAGACGCGGTTTAAGGGTTTACTTCCACTGGTACTCCTAGAAACTGACTGAGGCTAGTCGGAATTTACTCTCAGCTCTTTTTTTTTGATTGATTTTTGGGTTGTTATTGCAGATTTTCTTCTTCTGTTGGTGGTGTTTTGGGTTGGGTTGTTTTTTTCCCCCACATCGCCAGCCTTAGCTCATGTGGCAAGCTGGGGAGGCTTGGCAGGGTTGGAAGTGCATCTGGCTGGGTGTTTTGTCGAGCACTGGATGGGCTGGAAGTGAGCAGGTTCGGTTGTGAGACCTAGGGTGACTCCCAGAGGGTCTGGGGATTCCTTTGTGGACCAGTCTGTTCCTGTCCTGTTGAAATAGCAGGTTTCCTCCCCAGAAACTGAATTCTCTGCTGTTTGCTGACGTTCTCGGTTGTCAGGTTGTGTGTCTGAAATGGGAACAAAATTTCAGCCTGTGAAAGGGAGAAACACTTGCTGTTGCCAACAGCTCTCGCTGCGTCTGTCGATGGGAGGGGGTCAGGAAAGGGCTGGAGTCCCAAAACAAGCACGAGAAAGTCATGTTGAGAGAGTCAAACTCAGGTTTCTTACATGAACAGAGTATTGTAATCCATCAGGCCTTACCCACTGTACCGTAGCAGTGACAGTGTGCGCTTCCCCTCCTCCCTCCTCACCTGCACCCCCAAAAATTGCCTGCAGCAGCAGAGCGGCCCTGGAACCGGAGAGCATGGTGGTCCTGCGGGTCCTCCACGCTGAGGATCGCTACGTGGTCGTCTTGTTTTCGACAGGTTTCTAGAGGGAGCCTTTCCTACCGTTGGGTTTCGTTCAGAGGGGAGTTTTGCTGGTAACGGCGGTTGCACTGGTCCGTCAATATTTGGAAGTGTCTCTAGGGTACCTGTGTCTGTGGATGGCCTGGGGAGGAAGGAGAGAGTCTGGTAGAAGGTTTCCATGTTTCCTTGAAAGCTGAAGTCTAGGCGGCTGCTCGGTTCCGCTCTACATTTCCCTGTAACCAGAGCATGAGGTGTTCAGGTATTTCCCAAAACGCTGGAAAATTGCAGGTTCGTTGGCAGGGTGGCGAGGGATGGGTTCCCTGGGCAGCAGCAGGGAAGGAGGCTCTCTCATGTGGGGAAAGCTGACAGAAAGACAAGCACAAGGATCCTCTCTTGCGGTAAGTGCTTGGCTGGCCCGGAAGAAGAAGGGATCCTGCTGTACAGAGGCTGTTCAACAGGGCTGCCGTCTTCTGGCAAACCACCGAATAACCTCGCTGGTTGTCAGCACTGGTTCCTGGGCTACCCGAGCACAGTTTTCTTCTCCTGCCTGTCCCTCATGCCAGCTCAATATACCTTAGATGAGGATACGAACTCCCAGCAGCCAATGCACCTTACCCGCCCCTTCTTTTGGAAAGGCAACACATCCCCTTGCGTCCGAGGTGGGGAAATACAGCCCTTCTCTCTGTGTTGCATTCCTCTCCTCTCCCACCAGTTCTCCCAGCTCCCAGTGAGAGCGTCATACTGCTTGTGTCATGAAATGGAAAGACAATGTTATTTTATTGAACGGTTGTTATGATTATGATTAATATTTTATTATTATTATATTTTACTCTGGGTTTTAATTGCACACGCATTCCTTATCTTTGTGTTCTTTTTTTCTCTTAGCATTGTTGTTGTTAATTTTATTTCTCTTCATCAGTGGCATCAGAAGGGTTGCTGTGTTTGTGAAAACTGCAGGAGGAAGGGGAAAATGAGATTGTCCTGAGGATGAAAACTCTGCCAGTAACCGAGGGGGAGTGGAGCTGCTCTGTGAGAGCAGTTACAGCCAGGAGTTGTCCTCCGGGTCACATCGTCATTTCAGAATAAGTCCAGAAAAATTCATTCAGAGGCCAAAACCAAACAGCAGCTACCGTAATGATCTAAGGGGAGGTGGATCAAAGGCAGGTAAGGACCTTGGTGCCCTAGGATTCAGCTCACCATCACTTTGTTTGATAGAGACTTCGTTTGTGCTCCAGGGCATGATCATTGGGTCCTTCCAGTGAACCCAAGGTCAGGCTACACATTAAGGGTTTGGCAGAGAGATGGCTCTCCAGAAACAGGGCTGTCGGAGGAGCTGTGGCGGAGATGTGAGCGCAGCTCTTAGTCCCATCATTGGGTGACGGGCACTGATGTGCATGGACGGCGTTGGCTGGGAAAGGCACGGCCGCAGAGAGGGCAGGGCCCCTCGCCTGCTCCTCTGCTCTCACGGAAAGTTGATCAGGTGTCCGCAGGGCCAGGATGCTTGGTTTGTGTTTTTGCTTTTGTCCTCGCTGTAGATTTTCCCTTCTCTTACAATTATTTGTTGTGGAATTTTATTAAGCTATTCTGGTTGCTAGCATTTAGGTATTTATGTTTTCATTTGCACCGTCTGCTCTGTCAGAATGGGGGAAGCAGTAACTGAATTCAAACTCCATTAAAAAATGATAGGACCTCGGCAGAGACTTAAAGTTAATCATGCACTTGAGTGCTTTGCTAAAGAACAGACTTAAGCCCTTCAAGTTAATTACTTGTTTATATGCTCCTCTGGCCTAGACTGGCGAAGCATGAAGGGTTGCAATCTCAATCACAGTAATGTTTTACTTCTATTAATTGCGTTTTCCCTGTGTGCCCATCTGACCTGATCTCCCATGCGGGCTTGAACTTGAGGGTTGGACTTGATGATCTTAAAGGCCTTTTCCCACCAAAGCCATTGTATGATTCTATGGTTGTGGGGGGCGTTTGGCAGCCAAGCTGTCAGAGCGGCCGATGCTGGCAGCAAGAAGGGGTGCAGTGCGTGTCGGAGTAGCCAGATTTCATGTTGTCCACACTGGAGTCGCTGGTAGTCAGCTGTAGGTGGGCAGATGATGGTGGTGATGGGATGGTGGGAATGCAAGGGTGCACAGCGCAGCCATCGAATTGCTTTAATGGTACAACACCGCGTGTTTTCTGGCGGGTATGGGGGAGCTGAGCAACACCTCCTCCCTCACACCTGTATAGAGGCAGAGTATGGAAAAAAGGTGTGGTAGAGTTAGTCACGGGGAACCCAAATTGCTTTAGCAGAGGAAGCTGAAGCTTTGCATGCAGTCGGTGCCACGTATATAACAGCCAGCTTGTTTTGCTCGCAAAGTCCTTTGGAGAGGAAGCAGGATTGGTGTGGTTGGGTTGGTGTTCTTCATGCGTGTGGGGTAAACGGCATGGAAACTTGAGAGAGGAGGTGAATGTTCAGATAGTGGGAGTTTTATGGGTGGCTTATGGCTGACACAGTGAAACAGCGGTCCCTTTCCCCATTGTCTCATCTTGCGTTCTTCTCGTGTGGGAAGCAGAAGGAAGGATGGACATTGCCTCTCCTCAGAGGTGGATGTTCAGAGTCCTGCTGTGAAACCAGAATGCAGGAGGGAGCGGAGAGAACCGCTAACATGAACAGAATGGGAAGCCCAAATGGAAGCACTTCCCACTGCAGACTGGGCCAAACCCAGTCGTTTGGGAGAGCAAATGCAACCGCACCTTCCTCAGCAGAGTTGCATCCAACCAATTGGGCCTTGGCAGGTCTCTCTCTCTCTCTCTCTCTCTTTCTAGTAGTTTTGTTGCAATATGTAAAACATTCCAAGAAAGGGACACTTCTGTGCGTGACATTTGTCCTTTTTTAGACTTTCAAGGGATTATATCTTGTCATTTGGTTTGAAGGCAATTCCATTAGCAAACTTGAAGGGCGATAAACCTGTTTTTTTCTTTAACCAAAGATTTATCTTTTGGTTTAATGAGAGAGAGAAAGAGATCCCTACCCACTCCAGAAATGAAACAAAACCACGAGTCATGACCGCCAGGCAATGGGGATAAGCGGTGGAACTCCATCTTTCCTTTCTCTTCTTTTTCTTTTTCTCCCTCAACTTTCTGTCATCGTTTTGAGTAGCTGATGAGCAATTCACACTAAATATTGCTGCTATCCTAAACTGCAGGGGACGTCCAAAACTTTATTCTTTTCTCATTATCGTTCACATTGATCACAGCGTTTCAGTGGCGACATTGCAGTGTGGAAATGGTGAGCTGTGAAGCAGGGATAAGCTTCTGGATGCTCTGCCTT